AGTCTCAATGATAAACTGGATGTTATTTATGATCATAATACATTTTCATTTTAACATATTTCTCTCACACAGCTACAAAAAGGATATTTCATTGAAGCAAAATGTATATAACTGATATCCTTAACAGGATTATTGATTTAGAAGCGTTTTTCTGTCTATCAGCCGAAAGTATTAAAAATACATTACTTATAGAATATCAACATTATTACAAACAGAGTACTCAAGTGATGACGTCTCAAAAGAATATTTATCTAGGATCTTTTGATTTTGATCCCATAATCTTAAAGAGCATCATGAAATGAGCATCATCAAAGAGCAGCACTAAATGTGCAAAGTCAGTTTAATGTGGTACTAAAGGGCAGAGACATTGCAACGTGAGCATGGGTTCTTGCCCAATGAAATCACTGTTATTTGGTCTATATTTCTATATTATTAACGAAGCCAAAATAACAGTAATCAGATAGCAGTTTGCAAATCTTTTATCGGCCATAGCTCACCCAATTTTCGATAGATTGAACTGATTTTGCATATTTAGACGTATTTCATAGTGTCTCGTCAAAAAAATCAAAAATATTTTGCGTCTTTACATTTTAGAACTCTATTGATTTATACACAAATATCATTAATCTGTGTGCTGCTAGCTACATCTGTTTTACAAATTAGCATTAGTTTTGTTGCAGCTTTTTTGCAGTAACCTTACTTGCCTAAGTCTCGGTAAATCACGGTGGTTATGCCAAAATGAGGAACCATCCCCATCTTAGTTATGCCAGGAGAATGAGGGAAGAAAATGTCCTCCCTTCTCTGTTCTCCCTTCCCCTTCACATTTTGATCTGCCATATATAAAAACTTGGCTCTTTACATCCCCTCACTGAGCGCCACACCCATAAAATTTCAACTGAAGTTTTCTTCGAAAATCTAGTTTTCTAAACATCAAAAGTCCAGTTTAAAACTTCTCATTAAACCCCTCAAATTCAAATAGGAATGCACGATATGACACATAAACAATATCTTTTTCAAATCATACCGTCTGTATGCACCAAGACAAAACAACATTCAACCAAATGTGAAAAAAAAACAAATTTACAAAATGGTTTTTAAGAGACAAAAAGCATCGGGAAACTTCAAAGAGTCTTCATGTCCAGAAAGCTTTGGCAACACTCTGTCCACGTAAATCTCATTTGTCGTTTACAGGCGTATGTATGTTAGATATTTTGTATTAACATAACTTTCAAATGATTCATGCGCAGGGACATATTTATATGTTTCATATTCTACACAATCCTGAAATTGTTTGGATTATACAGCAACAAAGCGACATTATCAAAAATTTATATTTAGAATTATAGCAATCTGACCCCATAAACTAAAAACAGTTCTGAATGTGCAAAATCCTTTAAATCTGTTGAAAATCGGCCGAGGTATTGCCACATAAGCACTGGCTGATTCACCATTAAATCATTGTAATTTGGTCCTGGTTCTTAAATCTATGAACCAGACCGAAACAACAGCAATCCATTTGCAAAACTTGAGTCCTATATTGACCGTGTCCCAGGCTATTATGAACAGATTGAGCTGATATTGCTTATTCAAAGGTATTTTGCGGTGTTCTTACAGGACATGGAGTCAGAATTCTAAAATTCTAAAAATAGATTTGTTGATGACGTCACTTCGTTCCTCTCTTAAAGAGTCACTGCCAGTGTATCTTCAACAGGCTTGTTCTATTGTTCCTTGATTGACCTAATGATTCATTTAAATCTCTGACGTTTCAAAAATCAAAACAGTAATGCACTTTAAACTATCCCCCTACGAAAAGCTTTCGGGTGCAACGCACCACCGAAAATTCACCCAATAGAAATCCATCTATATCAAACAAAGTAATCTTCTTTTCACTTGTACTGGGTCAAAAAGATATCACTGTTACTTGTTTATTGTTAAAGACTTGCAAACACGACAGTCCGCGTGGCAAAATTGGACTAATGTTCAAAAGAGGAAAATTAGAATTGCTACTTCTTAAAAAACAAAGAACATATAAATTTCAGTTGATGTAGGTGAGAATTTAAACCAGCAAAATAATTTTGGAAATATCATAGAAAATACATGATATATGAGAACGTTTTAAGAACAGTAAGGACAAAAATAGAATAAAGTGATGGTCATTAAATTTCAGGATATTTTCCTCCTTTTTTGTTAAAAAATATCAAGAAAGTCTCGGTTTCTAAACATCAAAAGTCCCTTTTTAAATATGTCATTTGACCTCATTCATTCAAATTTGTATGCGCGAGATGACAGACAAACAATATCTTGTTTTCATGGTACCTACAGTCAATAACCAAATACGATGTCCCTAGACAAAATAATTTTAAATCGATCTTGAAAAAAAACAAATTCATGAAATGTTTCTAAAAAGACAAACGCACCGGGAAAAATTCGTGGAGTCTCAATATCAAGATAGCTTTGGCAACACTCTGGCCAAGTAAATCTCCATTGTCATTAGCTGGCGTGTTTAGGTAAGATATGTTGCAGTAACATAACTTTCAAACAATGTATGTGTAGCGAGATTTTTGTAAGTGTCATATGCTGCACAATCCTGAAAAAAATCTTATTCGTTATCTCGCTCAACAATGAGCCAATGTTTCTGTATTCGTTTGGCTGATATTGGGTCTATTCTTATAATGCATATTTCCATTGTTGCTTAATTGGCCAAATGATTCATTTTAACTCTGAAATTTCAAAAATCAAAACAGGAATGCATCACTTTAAACCGTCCACCTACGAAATGCTTTCGGGTGCAACTCACCACTAAAAACGCCCCATAAGAAAATCCCTGTACCTTAAACATTCTAAGCTTATTTTCACTTTAACCAGGTCAAAAAGATTTGACTGTTACTTGTTTATTGTTAAGTTCTTGCAAACACGACAGCTGTGGCAAAATGAGACCAATGCTTAAAAGGGGGAAAATTAGAGTGGCTAATTAAGTAGTTTGTAATATAACAAAGAATATATAAATTTAATAACGAACTATTGAACAATAATACGACAAAGACATTTGGTGGACATGCATGGAATAATGACCATCAAAAGAATTAAGGTAATATAGTAGAAAGAACTTTACCAATGAAAAGGTTTTGAGAATAATAAGAACAAAAGTAGAATTCGTGGGTACTTATGTCAATTTAACAAAATAACATCTAGAAACAGCTTTAAAAGAGATGAATCAGTGACAAGCGAGGCAAGGGAAAAAAGGTTGATAAATATTGAAAGCTGGACTAGCCTAAACAACAGAGAGTACGAAAGGACAGCACAGGGTCGTCAGAAGTGGAGAAAATGGCCGGTGAGATGGTCAGGAAAACAAACCTACATGATCAGATAGAAAATTAAGTTGTAATAAATCATAAAGATTTTGCCTGCTTTTACTCGAATAATTCCCTTTTTGTTTTGCCTCTATCTTGCCATTAGCTAAAGCCTCGCTTTGCTTGTGGCATTGCAGAAATTTTCGTACTACCTGCTCATTCACATACCAGAAGTTCCGTGCATGCTGGTCTTTGATCTTATGGCCTAAGATATCAGAGTCTTGATATGTTGTAGAAATACAATTTTTGCAGGAAAAGTATCAACAGGTATCTTTCTTTGCAAGAAGCAAACTCAAAGGTAATTTAGTCTTTGGATACACAAGTTTAAAGGTACGAAATGGATTGCGATGCCTCATAGGACCAGATATAGGAGGCACTTTTTCTTGTTTTTGCTTATTGCTGTACTAATGTTGATGTGTGCTTATAAACAGAAAGGAGTCTTGTGGGATTTCAACCAGGATACAACGCTTCTGCAAGACTATCAGCATCCACTCACGCGTTACATACCTGACCTACGAGATGACTCTTTGAACGAGTTTATAACTGAAAAGGGCCTTAATGGAAATACCAGAAAGGCAAAAAGTTGTGTGACCAATCATGAGGTTGTCGAGAGTTTGCGGGAATTGGTATTAGATTTGATTGATATTCGTGTTTCGGTTGAGGGTAAAGCAGCTGAGAAAATCGAAGAAAAATACGACAAATTCCAGAGAATGTTGCTTGATATTGAGGCCAAACTAGACCTTGGAAAGCCTTATAAAGCCGAGAGCAGGAAAAACAGGACAATATACTCTTGTCCTGAAGTACGTACAGGGCCTAAGTTTAACAGAAAATTTGAAAGAATCGATTGCTCAAAAATTCCTTTGCATGAATCTGTTACGGTAATTATTGACAATGTGAATTTGACTAGAAGGCAAACTGTAAAGTTGTTAAAAGAGATAAGAAAATTTGATAAGAATCTTAAAGTATTGACAATGGAAAGTAACGATGAAAACTATGCTAGGTCTACAATGATCAACAAGTCTTTATACTTGGAACTCACATGCAGATTTAGAGAGGCTTGTTGACTTCATTTCGGTAAATGAAGATGTTGTTGCTGTTGGAAACGCTTTAGTAAGCAGTCGTAATGGACACTGGTCACATGGATGTTATCAAGCGAGGCTGAGAAACTATGAATTTGTTTACAAGCGATTTACAAGCGAGGCTACCACGAATCAAAGGGTTCATGCATAAAATGCGATATTTTGGAAGGACCGTTTATGACAAAACTAGAATATCTGAGAGATCTTCCATTCAATTGAGAACTCGGGGATTTTCCATCTTGTTATGTTCCATTTTGAGTTGAATTCATCTGTTAACTTCTCCCCAAGACTGTGATAAATCCTTTAACGAAATCATGTAAAGTATAATTTTAGTAGGGTATATTAGAAGAAATTACTGAAAAAAATAATTCAAATACTGCTCACATACAAAACAATTTCACGGCGGCATTATGTATTGGCTTTCCCAAACTACTGCACCGTTTGATAACCTTCCCCCGCTCACAGCCGTGGAACCATAACGTTTTTTGGACTCTGCACGTTTTGATGTTTCATTTATTACACCCTCCAATCTGTTTCTCATAACTAAAGAAATATTGATCAAAAAGCTTACCTTAAGACAGCAGGTCTGGAGACAACCGTCTTGGTGGTTTTGTTGTAAGCATTGAATTTGATTTCACAGCTACATAGAAATCAGAAAGATCTTGCAGAAGACTCAACAAAATTTAGTATGAGAGCGTATTTATACTTATTTATATATATGTACCATAGTATATTTCTGTACAATTTAAAATACCTCTGAAATGCAGAAAAAGTTTGTTTTGGTTAAAACAAATTACAGCTTATATGTACTTATTTTGATTCGTGCAGAGTGATACCCACTTAAAGTGATGGGTCCAATATTTTTAAAAGTATTAAAAGGACACCCTCTCTGAAATAGCTAATCTGCCAAAATATCGGACTCTAGTGAGAGTTTTCGGCTGATAGTTACCACAATCTAAAAATACTAAAATACAAAAATTTCAAGTTAAAAACAAATGAGGGGAGGAATACATCAACGTACCCCTTTTTTGTTTCTCGAGGAAGAATCTCAACAATCTCGATGTCCAGACCAATCAGCTCTTGAAGGTTCCTGGAAGATATCATAACATCGTTAATTGTATTACTCACGCACAGATTATAACAAAAACTTGGCAATTCCTAGGCATACATTGCAAGTATAATCAAACTCCAACAAATAGTTTGTGACATTTGATATAACTTTTTACTCTTATCTAAGACTTCAATTCTTAATATCAAATTTAGTTGCCAGATTTTTAGTTAAGTCTTATGATACAATTTAGTTAATAATACTCACAAGGAGAGTTCTGTGTTTATGCTTTGAGTCTGAAGCCTTTTCGATCAGCACTTTCAGAGGGTTACTAAATAACCGTACAGGGTTTGAACACAGCATAGCAATTAAAACAGGCCTACTCCTCAACTCATAAAGCATGTACAACTCTATATATACTCTAAAGTCTTCTATTTAATAAACTACGTATATACCTAATAAACATACCTTTTAAACTGTGCTGACTTAATTTCCATCAAATATGCGCTCATAAGTGAAACACATAGCACATCTGCACTTGCAGGCTCGATCTTGAAGATGACTGTAGCACTTAGCTTCGCTTTGTTCGACATAACCCCACCATCATCATCCCTAGCTCCGATAACCATATTGAACGTACTGTTAGCGTACGGCATAAGAGAAGACGCAACTGTTATTGCTCCTGTTTTTGTATTGAGTAGAAACAATGATCTGCTGTTCGTTGATATCATGTAGTATCTTGGAGTACCGAAACGACCTGCGTCACGATCGGTTGCCTGCAGGGAGAAAGAGGACCGTGATCATGGGGGTATTTTTAAAATATAAACTACAATGCCTGCCAAAAGTCTTGGAACACTTGCTATAATCTACGTTGTGCACGAGCTGCAACATCCCCTCCCCTCCTTGTACAATGTTGTGCCACGGAAATATCAATAATCTTACATGTACAAGTGATACATTTTTACATAGCTATGGTTTTCAACTAGCGAACCACTATGTATGAGGGGGAAAGGGGGCAACACCCTCCTTGCTGACATGGGAAATAGAAGGGGACACGCGAATTCACAGAGATCTCAGGGTGTTCCAAGGACTTTGGCAGGCATTGTAGGGAGGAATAAAAATCCACAAATTTCAAGAGGGGATGGATAACATTGGTATGGTAAGGAAAAAACTAAGTTTCTTGGAGCAAAAATACACTTGATTCGATTGGATTGATGATGGCGGTTGATGATGATGATTGATATATTCGTAAAAGAGAAATATGACTAAAAAATTTGAAAGGAGAAGGATTATGTTGGTTTGATAAAAATAGAGCAGAGTTTCCTGGAATGTAAGAAGAGCCATTACCCCCACTCTTTTGGAAAAAAGGAAAAACATTTCAAATAATAAGAATTTCGAATGAAAAATTACAATTACTGAATATTTATACTGACGGTAGCAAGATGACATTTATAAATTCTAGGCCCTGGAGATATAGGCACTGGAGATCTTACCTGGAAATACTTTGGTAACAACTGTTTTCTTTTATAATTTAAAAATTCAAAATAGTGAGGATGTTATTCTCGAAGTGTTTTTCCTTTCTGAATACATTTCAGTTATAAGAAACTTTTAAAATGAATATGAATTGAAATTGAATGAATTCCTGCATGCAAAAATTACCTTGACATTGGCAACAACAGTATGTGGTCTGACATCTTGAAACAACCTCACAACAATTTTAGTCTCTTCAAAGATTGGAGCATTGTCATTTTTATCAATAACACTCTATTTTCGACCGTTGCATCAGCAGAGCTGTAAAAGACGTTAAAAAAGTCCTTTAAATACAGTTTATCACGGATGACTTATGACTCTGATGAAGAAGGCAAACTACGTGATTGCCAAAAGTCACGCTTAATTAAGTCGAGAACTTTTATCAAACAATTTTTATCAAAAATAATTGATAATTTTCCCCAACGTTTGACACCAATAAAAGGTTTTCAAACGCGGTACTTCATCAGAGCTCCAGCTTGTTGAATTCATGGTTTCGTAACAAAGGCCATCAAAAAACTCAAATCTAGAGCATAACAAAAACAACTATTTCAAAGCATTGTTCTAAATGACCTAAATGAAAATGAAGAAGCATAAAAATAGTGAACAGCAAATTTTTTTGTATATCTTTACACATTCAATAAAAATATTATGTGTTCAAACAGCAGCCTTTCTCGTGTCCTAGGACTTTAGACACTTGTATGAAGACTTAGACACTTGACAGCAAACATACCAAACTTTTCTACTGTACGTCGTTTTCCTTTTTTTGTAAAAATATTGTTATTTGTGGTTTCAAGTATTAAATAGAAATGTAGTAAGTTAATTATTGCTGTGAATGAAAATGTTTTTTGAGGTTATGAAATGGTTTTACATCATATTGAGGATTTCAGTTCTTTGAACCTAATGCAAGAAACCTACCGGTCGGATCTTCAAAACATTTAGCATCCGTCAGTGGCCATGAACTGCAACTTGATCTCTCAGCAATCTTTCTCCCTGTCTAGCACCGCCACCACACGCCGTCGACCAGCCATCCGTACTGCCATCGATGCGAAATTCTTAGGAGTACGCCACTTGTCATCAGGGACTAATACTAGTACGTCCCACACAGAGTTCACTATCAGCATCTTTGTCAGTTCCAGAACCTGTTTGGCGGATATCGTAAAGTAAGTAATTAAATATTGCAAATTTAGTCTAGCTAAACAGATCTATTTCATATTGTCATGTCATATTCTATACCAGAAGTTCATTTGCACAATTGATCAGCTGGTTACGATCAGTGGAAAGAAAATCTATTTGTCTGGGGAAGGGGGGAGTGGGTAAAATCCTTTCCCTAAGTGTTTCTAAAACGAGGGAGAAATCAATGCAATGAAAAAAGTCCTACACTTTCGTTGGAAATCCTATTGGCTTATCTTGAAATCCCTGGAAATTCCTTTTGTTTCGTGGATATATCTTGTAAGCTATTTACAAAGTGAATTGCACCCTCGCTATGGCGATTCCTATTTTGTAGCCTTAATGTGTAATGAACTGGATTTTGACTTGGTCATTTGCATCCTTCTCTGAGTGATCACATTACGTGCTTTACTGAAGTTGAAGCAGAGGTCGGGGAGAAAACAGATTCCAAACGATTGTGGGTGTTTTTTTATGACAAAAGTAAGGGAATGGCAATCACACGAATTTTAGTTCTTTTACAGTTTTTTATTTCATATTTTTATCAATTATTAACTTACACATTTGAGCTGCAAATTGTAAACTGGTTTTTTATACATTTTTTCTTTTGCTTTGTAGGCAGGAAAAGAGGGCAACCAGCAAATAATTATGTGAATGCTAACTATTAATCATTATTATTATTAATACTATCAATCCAATTATCAATATATTTGCGCTTAAATGTACTCATCAATATATACCTTTCTTAAATATAATCT